CCACCCACCCCCACCCCACCCCTGCCACCACTGCCCCAGTGTCTAACAGAAACATTTTTTTCAAATTCTTTTAGAAATTATCAGCAGTGAAAACAACCAACCACACAGAAATACCCATCTCCTATCAGTTGAGCATAAAATACACTATTGCTACAATTAGTTTCTACAGTGGACTTAGTCACTTACCCCAACTCCAGACACTGCCCAAGCTGCACCACCCAGCTGTGGCTGATACAATCCATGGATCAGGCTGGAGTAATCTCACACCTCTGCTTTTCTGTGTGTGAAAGCCTCCACATCACCGCCACATTGATGAAAAGACTGGCTGGGACAGAAAGCAGGCCCCGTCCCGCACCATCCCACTACCCATCACCTAGGAGGCAGGCCAGTGTGAACAAGACAACCCCAAAACCCCCTCCCTACCAGATCATGGGAGAAATAAACACTCCAGTAATGAGTGTTATTGAAATCTAAGAACATACAAATGACCCGGATGGAGAGCATTTTGGTGAAATGCACATCTCTCCAGGCCTTAAGGCTTTGTTTGCCATTATGCAAACACCAATCGATGTACCCTGAAATCACAAAAGGTCTCATCTCCCAAAATGCTTAACTATACATATAGTGCAGAGACTACACCCATTTCAATTTTTCAGACTGACAGTCGTCAAGAGCAGAGGCGACAGGACCCAGTTTCACCACTAACAGGCACTGATCTCTGCAAAGCAGCCAGAGCCCTACAGGAGGGTGATCCATCAGGGAATGTTTACAGAGACTGATTTCTGAGGAGAACATGATGTCACATTTCGTGGGATTTACCCTGCTCTCCCTGTCTAAAAATATCTCTTCAGACACGTTCACTAGCACGCTCAGCAAGTTCCAGCTCTGAGGACGAGAGACCACCTAGACATCCCTCACCAAGACCCAAAAGGCTTGGCAAGCCAAATGCTGGCTTAACTCTCTGGAAGGCCTTGTTGTGTTCTGCGGTCACAAAAAGTACTGCAAGGCTGTACAGGGAATGGTTGTGACTGATCTTGCAAAAGTAAGACTGCTTTAGGAAGCTACAGCTTCTCAGTCAAAGTGAACGTAAAATTTTTTTTTTTTTTAATTTCCCTAGAGCAGTAGTTCTCAACATGTTGGTTGTAAACCCTTTGGGGGTCAAACAACCTTTTCAAATGATTACCTAAGACTATGTATTAGTTATGAAGTAACTACAAAAGTAGTTTTACAGTTAGGGCTCATCACAACACCTACCCTGCCCTAAACAGAAGTGCTTTCTTTAGACTCACAGCAGGACCTGACACATGGAAGGTTAGATCTTGTATCTTAGGATAACACTGGCTCATGTCAATCATGCCAGTTGCTTGCGAACATTTTCCAAGAACCCAAGACCATGTTGCTAACCCTGTGATTGTGTAAGTACATGTCATTTAATAACACACACATCTATTGACAACACTTTTCCTTCATCTGCCCCCCCCTCCCTGCACACAGGAGCACACGCAGCCTTGGATTCCTCTTCTCTAATTTGTCCAATGCAAATGTTGTAAGCAGATGTGCAAGGCACTGCTAGGAGACAGGCAGAGAGTAAATGCATGCATCCTGCATCTGGCAAGGTGGGGCCTGGGGGGGTGGAGCTACTGGGCCTCTGCCACACTCAACAGGCCATGCCTGTTCATAGACATGATTCTATGTGGTTCATGAATATTACTCACATATGAGTGTTTATAGAAACAACCACACATACACCCCTAGCTGGTAACAGAGAAAGTCATTCAAACTCACCACTCAATGCAGCCACTTGTCTGATAGAGAGATGCTGGGTGGCTGTGTATATTATTAGATGCTCATCTCTATGGGAGACAGAAGCAACACAGTGGGCAGTGAACCTGTAGAACCTGGCACTGAAGACTCAAAGAACGCAGCTCCCAGCGTCTGCCAAATTTGAGTATCTGTGTGAGCTGCCACACATGATTCTCTAGTCAACATGAAACCACAGGAGAAGCCACTTTGCCCACACACTCTCATCCCTGCCTGGGCTCCAGATGAATGTGCAGGGGGGGGGCTGGTCTCAAGGAGGGTTAGCCGGTCCCATCTGCAATAAGAAGTCATGAACACAGCGAATATTTAGGTGGCTCTACCCAGCAAGGCTTCCAGCTCAGAATGTTTCAACAGCGAATTCTCATGAACTTTTGGTACTGAGGATGAAGTCTAAACTGAGCCACAATAAATTTGTCCAAGAATACAACTGTGACTTCACACAGGTGTCATGGGCTTCTCAGCTCTGCAACAAAACCCCAGTGTCAAGCCACCCCTGCCCACATGTACCATGGCACTGCTTTATTTCCTGCTGAGTTTATTTTGCTTTGCAAAAATCACTTTAGGCTTGGTTCTGCCTGCTGTGTCTGCAAATGAGAAATCCAAAAAAAGAAAAGCCACAGGTCTCCAGCTTGTCCCTGATGAATTAAATGGACAGGACACTAGAGGAGGGCATAGCCCATCAGTGTAACCACATAGAACAGGCAAAAGGATCTTGATGTACTTACAAAGAGGTAGCATGACACTGTGTGCATAACACAGGGAGTGGAACATGTCCCAGGTGTACAGGAACCTCCCTTCTAGAAAGTTCTCGGTAGGAAACTGCATTCCTCATCCTCTCCTCATTCACTGGACATCTCCGCTGCAGGCATGCAAACCACATGCTCTCCTGGTTTCCTAAGTCAGTTCTCCAACCTCTTAAGGGAAACTGTAAACTAAATACCACAAGTGTCTTTCAAAACCAGAGCCAAGGGCTAAGAGCATGGCTCAGTAAGCAAAGGGCTTGCCACACAGTCATGAGGACCTGAGTTCTGACCACCCCCCAGCATCCACATGAAAAAAGCTGGGTTCAGTAGTGTCTACAATCCTAGCAGTGGAAGATAGACACAGGAGAATGGTTGGGTCTGGCTGACCACAGAGCCTGGCCAAACCAGTGAGCTCCAGGAGCAATGACAGACCCTATTTCTAAAAGCAAAGAGAATTTGAAGGAGACATCAAAGTTAACCTCTGCTCTCTACTTGGGCTCACACTAGCATGTGTGTGTATACACACATGCACATGCACGCACACAGTTTCGCTGCAACCTGCTCCTTACTGGGTCTTGTGAATGGAAAAGGGCTGAATTTATTCAACCCAAAGATGTCCAAAATACATTAATCCAGAGTTGGGATCTAGAGAGAAGCTGTCTCCATACTTCAAGCAATGGGAAACTCTCCAGTCCCCTCAGCGCCTTGCTGGTCCTAACACCATCAGTGCCACAGACACTCTCTCAAGTAGCAGTGCATTGGCTAAATGTGCAAAGGTCACCTCCCTCACAACACAAGTACCACCAGCAGCTGCTCTTTCTGAAGTGCCCAAGTCCTCAGAGAAAAGCCACCCTGAAAGGAAAGCTTCCAAAGGGCCAACATGATGGGGTCACAGACACCCAGGCTGCCTTCCTCTGGTGGTGCTAATGGTCAAGCCACTGCTTGTGCATTGCCCTTACCAAGGGAGACCCATGGAGAATCTGTATCCGCTGGAAGAACCCACAAGGGAAGTCAGTCCTAGAGCCAAAGAGGATACAGACTTGGGGACCCACCCAACAACCCTTCAGACTATACATTTGTACACTTGTGAAGGAAGAATAGCTGTGAGCATGAGTTGTGACTGAGTACACAAGCTCCTGCTGGTAAATAGGCATGTGAAGCCATGGCACATGTGGACACCTGTAGAGTGAGCCTGCATTTCAAGCGTGTGTGCCTGTCATACATTAGAATGTGTTAGAAAAACATGAGCATATCACGTGGAGATGAACGGACTTTCACTCTCGCTAGGGTCTACTCAGCAGCTACTGTTGGCTTTGGGAAGATGCTGCTACATTCTAGGACAGACAGACACACAGACACACACACACATGCGCGCATGCATGTGCACGCGCCACACACGAATGCACACACACATGCACACAAGTGCACACACGTACCCCCGCCCCAGCTGGCCCCTTTGTTTTTGAGACAGCCAGTCCTGTCCCTCAACAGCTAGCTCAGCATGTGCTCTGGCTTCACCTCTGTGACAGTGAATGTATCATCCTCCTGAGCATCCCTATGGTCTTCCCCACAGCCCAAATGTCCCCGAGAGCAGTGTGCCCCTTCCCACCAAGAGATTCAGGCCACCAAAAAAGAACATATGGTCCCCACCACAGCCAGGGCAGCCCTGTTGTTGCTCAGCCCAGGGTGGATTCTTAACAAGCACAGTCCATGTGCACACACTCGAGACCCTAAAAGGCAAAATTTCTCACAATCCAGCAAAACATGTTCAGAATAGAACCCATTCTCTTGTGCTGAAGTGCTTTCCGTTGGCAATGTATCACGCTTTTCAGCACCACCCGAAAATAGCCGCTCTCTCTATGGGGCCTCCATAGCACTTGTACAAGAGACCATGGGATATAGGGATCAGAATGGCATGCAGGTATTTCTCTTGGGTAGCAGGGGTTCCCATTATAACCTGGAGTGATATAGGCAGGGGCCAGCTGCAGTCCCATAAGACAGAGATTAGGATAGTGGTCAGCCTTCCACAACACATGCTGGCAACAGGTAACACAGTCAGCCGCTGGAGGAAGAATGAGCTACTAGCATCCGTTAGTTCTGTAGAGGACCCAACTGAAATCCTGCAGGTGATCCTCACTGTCCACACGCCACAACCATGTCTGAATCACCACAACCTCATCATTCCACCGCTGCTGACGTGATGGTGTAAGCCAAGGAGCGCACTCACTCACAAATGAGCGTTCTGCCTAGAAACCCCAGGGCTGAGCTTCCAGCTTGGGTCACACCATGAGCCTATAGAATCCCACAAGAGGCTCAACTCCCCCATGGTGCCAGAAGTGGGACGCCATCTCACTGTTGTCACCAAATGTGCCCAGCACTCAACATGCCATACAAGGCTCATGTCTGCTGGGGTTTGAGCCTAGTTTAGATGACAACACTCAGAATGGACAGTCTGGAAGCATCTCTCGGGGCTGTGTCCCTTCCACCTCAACACTCCATCTCACTCTTCCAGAATCTCCAAATCCCAGTGTCTACAATGAACACACTCAGGTGTCCTAAGAATATGGATGTGATCTGAATGTAGGACATCCATCAAGACTTCATCACGACTCTGGTCATCCACCAAGCATGCTATGGTCACACAGCTTGCAGACTCAAGACTCACACAGTGGAACAGTAGGCCATGGACTGGGTGGCACATGAACTCAACTGTAAACCAGGTCAAAATAGCCAGAACTTGGTGGGCTGCTTTTTCAAACTTCTTTGGTGAGCCCTGTGTCTCAGGCAGCTTTCTCTGACTTACCACATACCTGATGTAACTGACGACCACTGGCAGGAGCCGTCACTGAAAAGGGCTTCTGTCCCACATGACGGTCTCCTGAGGGACAGTGCATGCCTCCACTTTAAAAGAAGCAGTGGGCTATTCCAAAGCACACTAAATTAGGCTCTTGAGCACTTCACTAGTAAATGCTCCAGTGGCCATGTGACCAAGGCAGCCCTTTGTCTGTAACAACACAGTCACCAGTAATGGGAGGCACCACCTTTTCATACAACAGGGACCGTGACAGTTTTCCCTGGTCAAACAGGGAGACCACAGGGACCAGAACCTAGTGTATCTGAGACCCAGGTGGTCCACCCAGAATCATTCAGGAGAGGGTGGTGGGGAGTCATGGTCACCACAACATCTTCACTTGTCACAGACTTATGTGTAGGACAATGAACATTTTGCACCAGCAAAATGCAAAGCCAATATGAGAAGATATACCTCAGAGCTTACAGCCCTAGTCCATGTGGCTCCCAGCCAATGCCAGTACTCTCTCCCAGACCAGGACGCAGCAGCAGCATGAGCACTCAAAGTCCACTGCAGAGTACAGGTGCCAGCCAGTCACTTACAGATCACAATGACAGTCAACAGGTACCCACACACACACCACGGCAACTTGGACCATGGAGCTTCACCCACAGGGCCACTACTCCTGTGTACCCCAGCATCCTCACTTGTCCCTATCTCGTGATGGTCAGACTCTTAACCAAATCCAGAGCAGACACGTGCAAGCTAGCCCTTCTGTCTCTTGCCATCCAAATACCATTCAGGTTACTATTAATTCAGCATCTCCCTTGCAGTATGTGTTTTCTAAATGTTTCTGTCACTGGCTGGTATACCACTGGGGTCACACCTACATAGCTGGGACTAAACACTGACTCCCCTATACAACTGGTCTAGAGCACACCACAGCTACTGAGGGCAAAGAGGCAATAACATCATGTCACCTGTTGTGGCTTTTCAAAATGCAGGCTCCCTCATCCAATATGACCTTAGTGAAGACAACATTTAGGGCCACCAAAAGCATCCATCTTGGCAAAAGGACAAAAAAGCCCTACATACCTGTTGTAAAACATCCCTTCAGATGGAGACCTGGTAATGGCACACTTGGGCCCTGGGATGAGAAGGCTGGTGGCTCAGCCTGCTGACGACTCACCAAACAGATACAGTCCCCACCCCAGAGGCTTGAGGTGTGAGAAGAGCAGGCACAACTCTCAACAACCTCTACCCCGCCACAGACACACCTCCCAGAAGGAAGCACACTAAGCTTGCACCCCAAATACCTCATGCCTAAAAATCTGAATCCAACCAAACAGAGAGCCATGCAGAGAGCTGTAACAACTTAGAGAAAAAGCGACTAGTCTTGTGGGCAAGCTAATGATCAGAGACAGGTATTTAAGACAGCACATAGCTAAGAAAAATCTGCTGTAGCAAATATTAAAATACAGGCACACAGCCTCCTAGGCTACTGTACATATTTTTAGAACACACTGAAGCACCCCAAATACAGCTGCTGGTGAACCACACAGTGGGGATGCCACCTCTCGTGTCTATACAGGCATCAAGTACAGGAAACATGATGGATGGAGTCTCAATGGCAGAGCAGCCATGAAGGCATCTAACGTCCCACCTCTGATCACAGCCACTGCCCATGTGGCTGTGGAAGTGTCACCAAGGACACCTGTAACACACTGCCTTGGGCTCCTATGCTGGGCTTCCTGAGCACACCTCATGCCCCTGGCAAACAAGTCCTCCTCTTCCTGAGGCAGCTCCATAGGGCAGCATCCACATGTGCAAAGCAAACCTGTGTTACAGGGCCAATCTGTAGCCAAGAGACACAGACCTATCTATCAAAGTAAGTATAGCACTATAACGTGAACACCTCCACTTTCATCAGCACAGGTGTGTCACTGTATTCAATCACATCCAAATATATTCCTGGGGTGAGCGTGGGAAATGGCAGGCAAGCATAACCTTCTCCAGGGATGTGATAAAATACTTCTTTCTTCTTAGTGCTGAAATCATATAGTTCTGCTTATATGCTTATGTGTTGTTAAATAAAAAGGCTGGGATCATTAAGATATCCTGTCCTTTGTATGATCATGAGATGATTCTTTGCCTGTGGACTCAAGGGTGGAAATCCTTGGACTTTAATGGAAGGACAGGCTCTTCAGGGTCTCAAGATGGCCAGAAATCTAAGCAGCACTGCTAGGAGAGCCCGGAGTCTCAGAGAACAAAGTAAACCACCCCCACAGCTACAAGATGTGCAGACTCACCCCACCCTGAGGAAAGGACGAGGGCTTCAGAGGTCTCTCCAGAGCCCACATTTGGTCATTTCACACATAAGCATCAATGTTTTTTGTTTTCTTTTCTTTTCTTTTTCTGATTTTGTAGTCTGTGTATTTTATAAGATCTGGCATTGAGTCATTCAACACTGGGAAGCTATGCAGGGCCAGGAAGGATAACCAAGGGTGATGGAGAACCTACGCCACAAGCAACTCACAATTACAAGCGTGTGTCAAAATCACAGAGGACACTCATGACCTCCTCACCTCAGATCCACCTCCAAGGACACAATTACAAGCGTGTGTCAAAATCACAGAGGACACTCATGACCTCCTCACCTCAGATCCACCTCCAGGGCGCCCCCAGCCACAAGGACCAGACACGGGGCAGGGGCCCACCTCCATTTTGTGAAGGCTGTCCAGCTTCATACATGGTGTGCCCTGTGCCCCACTGGCTGCTGTTACCTCATCTTCAGTGTCTGGTCTTTAAACAGCCCTGCCTTCTGCTCATTAACAGCCCCAGCACCTGAACCTAACAGTTTGTGTCCAGAGCTGACTTCCTACCTAGGACACCCAGCCCAGGGTTTACAGCACCACTCGAACCCCTCCCAGAGGCTGCATCTAAAATACACAAGAGCCAACAGCCAGTACCACCATGTCATGAGCTCTTTTAAACACACTGGGTTGGGATAGGCTTCGGTCACAAAGTGCTTGTCTGATGCAGGTGACACCCTGTGTTTGCCACTCAAAAGTGTGGAAATCAACACACTATATATGTATCAGCCTAGTGAGCTCACGCACCACCTTTAAAGTAATTACTACCATTCCGCCAGTATGTGGGTCTAGGAACTAGGCCCAGAGAGGGTGCCTACACCACTGTATCACCCTGCTCAAAGCAGCTGAAGGAGGGACTCTCATGGGATCTGGGGAGCTAAGAGTGGAGTTCCATCCCCAGATGTCTGAGTTACCCCCTCAGAAAGAGGCTGTGGAAACAAAGGGATGA